TTTCGGGCGAAAGTAGTAGAAAATTGCTGGCATATTTTTACCCGCTACACTTTTATTCTGTTCACAATCACTTGAACTAGTCAAGCCGTATTAGCAATACATTGACATCGGATACCTCTCACTACCAACGCGGAATGATCCAGCATTTCGTTCTCAGATTGGGACATGAAATCATTCAAGGGAATAAATCTTTAGCCGCCCTTCATTATTAAACAATCAAATTAAGACGCGAAAAACGTAATTTTACCCAGGTGAAACCACTGTGTGGTAGGTCTATCTTTCTCGGTCAATTGCTTTCTTTCTAGTTGCCTCAACGGCTGCATAGACAAATTTATGCACTGGCAAACACAGGACCTGTCGAAAAGTTACTGGTTCTGCACAAAGTCTCTTGCTAGGACTGTCAGATGTAACGCTGAAATTCTGGGTGCTTTTCACGTTCTATTATTGCGTAGAATATATTCAGTCAATTTATTATTGCTACTTTCCTCCTTCATAAGTTACATCTCGTGTATTTTCCTCCTCAAAATGCCTCATAGTCTGTATTTTAGTTTACTGAGTAACATGCTCTGTAACAGCACTTACACTATGACATCTACGAAAACTAGTGGATATCTGAATTTCAAGTTTAGTAATGAGTCGAAAATGCCAGTTTCTAGCAACGGAATTGTAAAAGGGCTCAAAAAACCACTCTATGCTGAATCGCAGAGTAATTTAAATAACTCAGATCACTCAACCCAAGCACTTCAACTGAGTTACAAATTAAGAATCCATAGTGAAATCCCTACTCCCTAGATTCCTACTCAAAAGCACAAAAGAAGTGGGAGAAAAACATGTTTGAAAACTCAAATGGTGCAGCTCATTGTTCAGAAGGAATAAAGTCATGATAATTGTACTCTCATGTTGTTGCCAGTGTAAACCAGCGACTCTGCAATCCAATGTAGCATTTTCAGTTGATGGGCTCCCTGTCATTGGACACTACATTAATGAGACGTGCTAAGTCACCCCTCTTCTTGATTCTCGTATGTTTGTTCCAAATACAGAGTCAGTGAGACAAGAAAAATAACAGAAACGAAGCCAAAAGCACGACCTAAAATGAACCTACTTAATCTGCCTCTCTCAACGAAAGATCGATCAGACAGGAAGGAAAGACAGTCTTAATCCGAGCTGATACAAATCAAATACAAATCAAGTCAACCGATGTTTTGAATAACCCAGCATCTATTAACAATAGGCAGCAATGGGTGAGATTAAGGATGGTAAACGGCAACACCATAGCCCCCGAAATGCTACGAATCAGGGACATACAAAAACTTTTTATTGAATGCTTCAGTGTAAGAAAGTAGCTTACTGGGAAGCAGGTCTGTCTTTGATAAAGAACAGTTTGGTAAATACAGTGCAGTGATTGCAGTAGGACGTACCTCAGCCACACTATGCCGTCCGTTTGAAGGTTGGAATATAGCTGAAGGTAAACTGCCTCCACAAGACAAACTTTAGGCTCTGTAAAAGTTGTCGAAGAAATCCTTTTGACATCTCAGAGACATTCAGTCAAACTATCAAGCACAGCAAACCCCGATCAGTACGAGCAACTGCAAGAAATTCAATAGACACCCAAGGACAAACCAGTACGAAATTTTACGGACTGTCAGAGCTGGTTGATAATAGACTGAATGAAGCTCATGCACGTGATATGCAATAATGGAGGTGTCTGTCCCTTAGCATAGGACTTCACACCACCATGGCATTCAGCCTCGTCCATCATATCTCCCGACTATCAAGTTTTCACATCTGATGGTTGTGGACTTCAGAAACAGGGAAGACCTAACTAACGTGCTTCATGCTTCGTACAGCACGATATTGTGAAAACAGGCTTAGATCAGTGAGATAACCGCAGAGCCACCAAATTAAGTACACACTAATGTTAGTTGGCCTCGATTGACAAACCATAATACAAACTACGAAGACAACGGTCTCATCAGTCGAACACGATGTGCAAGCAAAAACCTGCAACTCGGTTTAAACAACTTATTTAATAATTCCGCAAGGGCTGTTGCCGCAGAGGCGCACTAGGTTACGAGACAAGCTAACGAGTGTGTTTTTAGCAACTTAAGGGGTAAGCTAGATAGGATCAGGGGTTTACTCTCACATGGATCTGAAGATCATGATCAGAAATAAAACATAGCTATCCTTCGACATTGCAGAGGATAAAGTGAACTTGCGAGACATGATACTTTTCTAGTGCAATAAGTTACACAAGACGTATGGGGGAATGGTTATATATATATATTATTATCCTTTTCAAAACCATAAGACTATACTGCGCCCAACTAACTCATATGGCATATTTACGCTGGTATTCCTTCACCACAAATGGCACTAAATACTTACCGGACCCCCTGAGTACCAAATCTCACAAATATAAGTTGATGAAACCACCACTGCAACTACCACATCAGGGATTTGACTACTCTTAACTGGAGACTCTAACACTCTACCCTTAAATCTCAGCAAGCAGGGTACGACTCCCACAGGGTGGTCCCAAAAGTGACCCATGACGACCCTCAGAAGTTTCAGACTGATTGAGCATTTGTGTAACGCCAGTAGGTGGTTGGAAAACCCTTAAAATTGGATCACTTGTCGGCTAACAATCAGCTCCTAGCTGAAGATGTCCATGTCCACACATCAATGGGAAGTATTAAACATGGCGCAGTCATGTTTAAAACGATCACAGACGAAATGCTTAGGAGGGAAGAAACATGTCCTACTTTTGTTGCACTAATGTGAGTTACACAAGCATTGGAGAGTATTCGCTATACACTCCACGGCTACGAGAATGGTGAAGGATAACAGATGATCATTGCTGAGAGAAATCATTCAGGATACTGTACTGCATGATGTACCTCATGCAAACAACACACCTGTAAAGAGAAGATGATGGGTCAAGCGGGTATAAAACTTTACTAATTTACTGCTGGCGAAAAGGAGAGCCTGATCCGAATTAAAAGTCCTTCTGAATGATTCTGACCACGGTTCTAACTTGAGATTGAGAAACAGACGCAGTGTCAAACTTCGGTAATATTGGGGACACTTCCAAACGAATCTAGCTGGCAAAAACATAGGTGAACCCAAGATATCTCTATAGGTTCATGGCCAAAAGAAAACCCACAAACTGAAATAATTGTGCTCTGAAAGGTCCAAATGATGATGATCTTACTAACTTCGAGATGGCTGAGGTCTTTAATATCAACTTAACCGACCAATTAACCCAGGTATCTACAAGTTCGGAATGCCACTGGAACCTGGTACCAGCTGATTACCCATGGAATATTTGACCTACTTCTGTCCTAAGGCTAGGAAAACTAAAATCTCTGAGCCCGGAGAAGTCACTAGGATGTGACATTATTCGCCCTATAGTCTTGAAATGGGATACGGAAGCACTCAGTTGACCGGTACGTGACATGTTCAGGCATTCTTCCGAGAAATACCAACTGTCAGCTGGATAGAGACAAGCTACTCTTTACACTTTTTGGAGGGAGAGATAGAAAAGATCCAGCGTGCAGCGGACTAGTCGTATTCTCACAAGTACTATTGAAGGTGATTAAAGGACTGGTGAGTCAGCAGATGAAGAAGTAAAGAAGAACGACGCCCACCATGAAGTTTTGGAGAGTCTCAACATCAGTAAATGTACAAGGGATCATATTTGGTTCACTTATGTTCCTGGTTTTTACTATTGGCTTGTTAGATAAAACTAGCTCAGAGGGATTAATCTAAGCAGGTGTGAGATCTGGAGGTCCGTGAGAAGCGATATCTCATGTCATGAATATTTCGCCTTAAGTGACACTAACAACTTGAGTCCTCAATGGAAGTCATCTCTCAAATGTCTGTTCAGAAAGCAATCTCCGTCTAATAACTACAGGGATCCTGGACATAACTTTAAACTGCTTAGAGAACGCAGCTAAGGCTAACACGAATTCTAACTTTATGCCAATACAAATCGAGTCAACCACCTCAGAGTCGTTCTTAACACTTTAAAATATACGCAGGGCCACACTGTTACGTCCGAGTTTTGCTCCTTCCCGTTATTGAAGTACAGTATGTTGATCTATTTGCAATTAACGAACCCAAATTAACAACAGAACCAAACTCCAAAGTTAGGTACCAAAGTTCATTCGCAATTCACAAATAGTCCGCCAAAATGTCGTTCGTAATTCACAAATAGTCGACCGAAATGTCCGAAAATAATAAATCAAACAAGTTCCTAAGTTAAGTAAAACAAATATACCCAAAAAACAGTGAAATTAATGATATTTATATAAGGGTTTTAATCAGCCAAATGTCTTCATTTCTCTCATAACACATACCTTTAAGTTCAGAATGTCGTTGAACCACCATTCGTTGGAAAAGACACAAATCTGGATCAGCTGCAGAGGTGAGTAAGTAGATGGGTGACAGGATAAAAGAACTAACCTTATGAAGACGGTCTCCATCACTTGGTACTGTTCCCGTCGATTTATACGAGGGTCAGAGTTGATCTAATGATGGCATACAATGTCACAATTAGTGCGATCGAGTTGCTAGACTACTGTCCATTAGGTATTACCAAATACTAGAGCCTTACCGAAACTAAAAGAAGGAAGAGCCAAGAAATCAATCTGCGTATACCAGCATGGACCAAAAATATTAGATATTGGATTGTACTGTTTGACTAATGAATGGTCATTTTATTAGGTTAAGTACTTAGAATGAGAAAACTGTAATTTTTATCCATGAGTCAACTAAGCCCCTTAGGCTCAAATGTCAATGTTTTTCTTTTTCCTGGATATTCACGGTGTTTAAGCTAACCAGATAATCATAATACGAACGCCCTTGTCGATGAGCTCCAGTTTTGACGGTTTTCGCAGTTAACCGTGTTTGAGGCTTCCAACTTTATGTATACGGGAGCTTAACTATATACTAGGAAGCTTCTCAGCAAACAGTAAATTTCAGCTTTTGAATGTGTTGGCATGACGGGATCCATGAATATGAATTTCGAAGGATCGTGGACACGGAGTTTAGTTTGCTCTTGTAATGATAATTCTCATTGCGTACAATCAAACTACCGGTCTGCTAAAAGAGAAAGAACCATAGGAAACTGCACTGTTAATCCAGATGGTCGTTGTTATGCGGCAAGAGTTATCAATCTGGATGCATTGGGACGTTATCTGCGATCACAAGTTAAAATGTTTCCTGAACGTTCATTCAATTCACCACAAAGTATCAATATCAACCCAGGAAACCTAGATAGATTCATTCGTTTGGTATATGGTTGCTTTGATTCACATGACAAGACAACACTAGCTTGCAACAGCTATTTGACTAAGCATGCTGTTCCTCAAGCTATTGAATGTTGTAACTCTAGCAATATGTGCAATGTACATTTATTCCCAAAGTTTATACACCATGAAACAGATTCGGATGCCGTGAAAACAGCTTTGGAGCATTTTGGAAAGACTGGTCTTTGGAGAGAAGAAGCAGTTGCTAACGGAAATATCCGTTTAAGACCATATATGAATATTGGTCCAGATATGTTAATCGGCGGTTCTGCTGTCGGAAATTTACCTCACAACAAAGTAAGGTTGAACACACCGTGGAAAAACCAGGCTAGTTCAGAGGACAGAATGCAATACCTTTTTCAGATAGTATTAATCTCCACTTTCAGTCTGGTGTTTATTGTGCTATCGCTTGTTTTTGCAACCGTCTGCTGTGTATACAAGCACCGCAGGCAAAAGACAAAGTTACGTCTTTCTTCTACTGAAAGCTCTTCCATAAGGAAGCTGCCAGAAATAGAAACAGTTTGCGACTCAAAGTCTTTGCATGGATTTTCAAACAGGGACTTAAAGTCATTGCATTCAACTTCTGTAAAGTTTGAAAAGCTATGTAAGACAAAGGATGGTTCAAGTCCTCACACGTTGCTGACTGATATGACCCATAACTTTGGTAGTGATACAATCATTAATCGAGCTTCAGAAAACGTTTTATCCCAGAACGGGTTGTTACATCTAATTCCTCAGACAGTTGGGAGACAAATAACTTTGGAGAACCTTCTGGGTACTGGACGTTTTTCGGACGTCTGGAGTGGTGAGTGCGAATCTTTATATCCACATAAATATTGAGTTGGCACACTCAGTTATTCTGTTCAGCATGAAGATATATTAATCTGACTCTCTATTGCTCAACTTTTTATTTCGCATATTATCGTATTATGAATAGATCACTTTTTCCCGAGTATTCCACCCAAGATTTAGGCAAGTGGCTATCGCTGTTATATTAAATTAGTGAGAAGTTCAATAGTTTTCATGGACTGGGGATAGTTGGAATTCTGCTTGTGCTACTTAGAAGCATATAGTCACGGAAAATCTGCTAGCTGAGAGGTATATGGTTAAATGCTCACACATAACTAGCACCCAAATCGTTGGTGTCTAGTGGGTTAAATTGAACAGTTCTGTTAGTTAACGTTGTCTAGCTGGCTGCTGATAAGTATAGGAAACCTTGTGAACTTTACTTAAGGACTATTTTGATAAAAACTTGTTTAGATACTCTAGATGTTCAGTAGAGGATTCTCTCTTGGAAAGTCTTGATCACTGATGATTAGACAGTGAAATACTGACTGTGAAGATATTTTTCATTGAAATTTATAAATATCTCTGTGCCCTGAGAGATCTTCATTTATAATTCAGAATTAAATTAAATTTTTGAGTTTATTATTCATGCTTTCCAGTGAATATGGAAGTTTGGTTACTTGAGATATATCAGGTTGCTTGAATGTAGATAACCTCTGAAAGCAAACTTTCTGATTGTCTTAAGTACGCATCAAAAGTTAGAGTTAATTTTCCCCTAGTTTTGGCTTACACATCGAATGGATCCTTTTGCTCCTAATAGTAGAGAACAAAGAAAATCATTCAACACATAAAGGACCACATACACGTAAATGTTCATGTTTCCAGACTACTTTGGCACAGTGTGGTGAATCTATAAAGCTAGGTTCCAGAGTACTAGCATCTTTAACAGCATCCGAAGTAAACATGCATCTCATGCTATGTTTAGGTTTAGAGCGTAGGCTGTATGTTGGATTTTTAAACGTCCTGCATTTTCTACAGTTGTTTATAGCACCATATGTTAGTCACTGTTTTCTAGGGGCAGTTCAAGGGTGATCCAAGGGTTTCACCCTGGTTTATTAAGATTTAACCGACGGTCGATCAAAAAATATGTTCACATCTTCAAAAGATTAGTCGTAATAACTGTTAAAATAAAAGACAGATCCGTGTCTTAGATTGCTTTTGAGTTTAAGTACAATTAAGCCTTTTTAAACAAATAATCCGAAAACCTTATTAATACTATTTTAATAGGTACTTGGAAGGGAGAACAAGTTGTTGCAAAGGTTTTTAGACCAAACAACCGAATTACTTGTAACATATGGCACCGTACTGTATTGTTACATCGTTCAGTGTTGCTTCGTCATCAAAGGATTCATGGTTTGATGGCTGTAGATTGGCTCAACTATCCTACAGAGATGCATTTATCGGTCCTCAAGAGACGCTTTTCAGAATCACTTTTAACTGTTTCGTCACCCTGTGCTCTGCTTGTTGGAGAAGCATGTATTTATGGAACCTTAAAAGACTTTCTATCGAACGGGGACTGGAATCTTACCAATTTTTCGGTTGACAATGATAACCTCGAGAGCCGTGATGTGACATCAAGTCAAAACTGTTGGCTTTCTGCTGCGAACAATACAGGTGGTATCCGCTTGCGCATACTGTTAGAAATTACAAACAGTCTAGTACAAGGATTGTGCTTCTTACATTCAGGTAAGTTTCATGACTCAAATTGTCCTAATCGTCGTCTAACAATCTACTGCGTTATTGTTAGGCTTTTTTTCTACCAGGGTTAAATATTGATTCAGCGACTAGACAATCTTATTTTAAGTTATTAGCTAAGCACCATTAATTTAAATAAAACGGGCAATCTTTTCTTTTTTGAATAATACATAGTTATACGTGTCTTGTTAGCGAATGTTTTCGAAAATATCTGAAACAAACCCAGTAACCGGGAAAATTGAGTGATACTTAGCAGTTCTTGACTGCTCAAGATAAAAGTTTTCTCGTATAAAACTTGGATTTTCAACTTCAGGACATTTTTCACAGAAAGCAGGAGCTAACTGGTAGAAAAAATCAAAAGTCGAGGAGAAAGTGAAGTATCATTTCCTTAGTTTCAGGATCAATAGAATCCAGTGGCCTTGATCTAATTCGAAATCCATCTTTTGATACTTTGGTTCCATAGAAAGCACAGCACATTTTAATAAGTTTACTACAATAAAGTAGTTGGTCTTTTTTCTTAACCTTCTTCCCTTCAAGATATGAGAAAAGCATTATTCACTGTGGAACTCATGTTATTTAGTAACGCTAATTCACTTAATATGATAAAACATTGAAATATATACATCACTAATGAGAACGATAATATTACGATGAAATGAAAGGGCAGAAATAACTTTTAAAAGAAAGACTTAAAAGCATAAAAATTTGCATTCTAACAGTCAGGAGGACTAAGGTGGAGATATTGATTCATTTTCATTGAGAACCTCTTTATCCACCAGGTTGAGAATTTATTCCTGAAGCTTCTCAATGCTGATCTTCGAGTTAGGTTCCCGTTACATCGTATGGCTTTACTAATCGCATCTAATAAGTAGTTTGGAGAGTTTCGTAACTCCAAATATGACTCCTGTGAGCGTGTTTGTACGTTTTTGTATCTTATATCTCATCTTGGACATTTCATTTACTTGTAATGTTCCGTCACTGCACTAGTAACCTTATTCATTATGTGGTCTTCTTCATTGAATATCATAACTGTGAACAAGCTTGTGAGATCGACTGATTGCTTGAGTTCGGTTATTATTAATTATTTATCTTTTTCTCCACAAACTATATTGCTTCAATAAATGGAGACAGGTGGGAAGCATTTTGCGTGAAACTGTATTCACCCTTTAATCTAACTGTCTAGATACCTTTATATCTGTAACTTCTCCAGGGTTACCTAGTCATTTCTAAATGGATCTGCATATTAGCAAGTTAGTTGTTAGTGATTGTCTTCGTAATCATAATGTTTTACAATGTACCTAAAATGAGGTAAGGGTACATGAAGTTGGTGGGAATAATTTGAAATTCTTGGGCACAATGATGCTTTTCAGATCCATTAAAGCTGCGAAACTTGATAAAAAAATTCTAGGTATTTGAGTAAGATCATATTAAATATTATTTTTAAGTATAGATTCAGCCTAGGAGATTTAAATTTATAACCGAGTTAACTGGTTTTTATGAAATTGTAATTGAGAAATTAGAGTAGCTTGAACTCAAAGTATTTATCATTTAGGTTTACATTTAGGTTTTCCTGTTAGAAGCATTTAAATTTCTTCATTCTTCCTTAATTGACTAAATCTTGTCGAATTTAAAATTTGAGAAGAAAATCAGTTTCAATCACAAAAACTGAACTATTAAATCGAGAATATATAATATATATATATATATATATATATATATATATATATAGCTGCCAAATATTTACAAGCGTATATGAAAAATACACCTTATTTATGTTACTAGTATGTATGTAACTTTGTCAAATTGTGACATATTGTGGCATTTCTCATCTTCAGTATACAAAATTCACATTTTTAGTCATCAATTAATTGGGTAGGTATCATTGATGCACACTAATATATAATTGCAGCTTGTTATTATCTGGAATTTAGACCACCTAGGAAATATTTTATCTAAAAATTCAATCCTACTGTTTGATATTATCAGCATGTGATTCATTCGTAATGCTTTCATTTACTCGAGTCACATGCGATTATTTACGATGCTACAACATATTTATTCCTGGTTTAACTGAATGCACTACTGCAACCACTACCACTACTGTTACAGATACTGTTTTAGTCAATAGCCTTTTTTTTATGCCCACTCTGTACAGACATGTAAGAAGGACATATTTCAGCTATCCATTTTGTTATTTCTGTGTATTTTACATTGTTTTTTGCGTAAATTCAAGAAATTGTAGTGAAAATTCCTATAAATGATTATTTATAGTTTTTCGATCGATTGAATACTGTTTCACTGATATATACACGCATATTTATATATAACAAGAGAGAATAGAAAAAATACATGGGTGATCGTATAATCAATTGTAGTGCACAAATATGTGATTTCATACTCAAACAACTTAGATTTATATTAGTTGCAAACCTTACTTGATCATTGTGCCAAAACATGTTTGTGAATGGCGTTTCAGGAGACATTTCTAACTTCATAGATTTTATATGTGATCACGAAATCTATTGTATTACAATCCTAAAGCTTTTACTAGAAATAGTTAGGTTTATGATTTTTCTTTGTCACCCTACTGAAGGTAAGACATTTCATGCAGAATTCTTCTTATCAATATTATAATAGGTGTTTTCTGTAGGAAGTTAGACTTGATAAATTATGCGTAATTATCAGCTTGTAAACCAGTAATTTCCGGTCGTAATGCCCAAATTAGTCCATAGTAGGCAAACCAACTAGATGAGACCATTCGCTTATTTTATTTGAACATAAAATTACGAATAATTCAAGTGTGAATTTAAACACAGTAGTGTTAAAAAAATCATTCATCAGACAAAATTTTATGATGTATTTTTTATCCACGTTTTTTTTGAGGCAAACTATTCTCCATATGAGATAAAACTAAATCTGAGGAGTGAAGTTTTATATAACGTCACATTTTACCTCGTCATTTTGACAATAATAATCTTTTAATGCTAGTGGAATTGGTACTTTTTCAATTTGCTACTTATATCGTAAATCGATATGTGAACAAAATATTGAGACAATAATTTGATATCAGAGGTGAAACAGGAAGATCACAGTAATCATGCTAACGAGATATAAATGGAATATCTAGAAGATGTTTAAACTGTTGGGTAAATGCGGTTTAGTGGTTAGGGCTTTGATTTGAACCCTGCTCCACCTATTTCGATTTAAATAACGGGATAGTATCATCAACCTTTCTAAGCCAAGTCCACAAATCTGTATCCACATAAAGGAGCTGATCAAGTTTAAACTACTGATATTATAATTGATTATTCAAACTACAGGTAGAATAAACTTATATATAAGTAATTTGTTAACATTCTTACATTTGGACTATTTTTGATTGCTTCTTTCTTTCAAAATATCCTGCTTGTTCATACTGTCAGTCTTATTATTCCTAGAGTTGTTGCAACTTTGATAATTATGTTTACAGCTTGTTTTTATGATTTTCATTTCTCTCGATGAAGATGAAGTTTCCTTGACTTGTCTGTCTTGTCCTAAGTACTCTCAATATACACAATACGTGATCATCATTTGCTTGACAAATCTTAGTGTTACATAATATGTCACTGTGTTTGTTACACTGTTGACTATTCTCTGTACAATGATTCTTGATTCTCATATTTTCTTTCATGGATATGACGAAAACATGAACTACGAATCTGAGTAAAAGTAAGGGTATTTCGATTGACTTCGTTAGTGTCGATTGATGGCTAATAGTCAATGATTAAATATCGAGCTACAATTAGAATTTGATATATTTAAATCAATTTAGCAGTTGTTGGCAGACTGAATTCGAAACACAAAAATGATAATCGAATTTTTGACCATATGGGTCTTTCCAAAAATGGTTTGCCTAATCTCAGTACCATAAATCATTTAAAGAACGTCAACTCGATTTTAGGGAAAACATGATGGAGGAATTCAATTTGATATAGTTTGGATTATCTTGTTGTTGATATTTTGACGGAAATTTGATCAATTTTGGTTGGCACATGTGAGTCCTATGCCATTATGACACGAGTTTATGCAAGGTAGATTTAAACTGGTGTCTTAATGGCTTTGTCGAGGTAACCAAGGTTAATCGAATTTCCATTAAAATATCAACAAAGAGTTAATCCAAATAATAAAAAATTGAGTTAAATCTCATTCTCAGTGTACAAGTGAATGGTTATCTGAACTCAGCAACTAAGTCGACAATACGATGGCTTGTGAAGCAAATGGCACTATGTCCGAGTTTGGGAGTGATACAGGAAAATCTGGCTGACGAGTTCCTCATAGAATGAAAGGCGCCTGCTGGATTCCACTGCTAACCACATTTTATGACCAAAGTATAGTTAGTATTTATTAGCTACTAAATGAATTTTAAAACGTCTTAAAACTGCTATGTACCGTTCGACTGGAACTCTTGAAATAGGTTTATTATGAAGCTTCATTAAAAGGATTCACGTAAGTTGATTATGGTAGAGTATGAACCACGGAAAAAGTAGTGAGTAAACTATTGAATCGCTTATGAAAATAACTCATGTCCAAGTTATTAAAACAGTAAAATTCTGACAATTGTTTTCTCTAAATATACATTAGTTTTGACCATTTGACTTAAATTTCATTTGTTGACTGTTTTGATTGGTTTAAGAGAATATTGTTACTGTCCTTGGTGGTACGTAACTGAAATCTAGAAAATATTCTATTCATTAAGCCTAAAGCTGTGTAGAATATGTCTGCAAATTGAAAATGAGACACTACGTCTTTTAACTGATTTTACGTGTACAGGCTTTGATTGTAGTAAACAAACTATTGAAAACAAAGAGTAACTTTCTAAAATATGAGTACTCAAACTCGAAACTCAAATACATTCCACTTAAATAAATCTCCTTAGTATTTTAGATTGTTCCTTACCAGTGCTAATCAAAAAATAATCAGGGTAAAACTGTTGAAATTCAGGCAAAGCTCGTCTCATGCGCTTTTAAATTAATATACTGTCGAAATGTTTGCTATTTGTTACATGTTGGATACTATCGCCTTATGAGATTAACATGTTAGTCATTCACTGTTGATTCGTTATTTGAATAATCATTATTAAACTGTTACAAAAATGAAAAACAGCCTACATGGTTGTTTATAAAATCAACATGATATCATTAAACTCTTGTATATTCAGTTTTATGTTTAAACTATACACGTATAAAAGTTAACTAAAGAAATAACTTAATCATTAATATTCCAGCCAAAATCAAATAAAGTGACTATATATTGCTCACAGAATCGAATACATATTTGTGAATGTGCATTGTGTTTTCTTTCTTTTAAATTTACTGTTCATTTAATGACTGAATACTGCATATAAGAGTATAATTTACATTTTAAGTTCTAACTTTCATTTTATTCAGTTTTTCCCATTCAATAAGTTCGGATGCACTACAATCGCATATTCATAGAAAACATTTGTAGATAGCTTTAAAAGATGAAAATAAAGATTTCAGTGAAAATTACTCTGTTACATGCAGAAATGACATTAAATGAACAATAAATGTTAAATATCCAATTTTTACTGAATACTGAAAAGAGAATGATAATTAACTTTATATTTACTCTACTAATTTTACAAATCTTGTAATTTTTTCCCTCATTCTCTTTACAACAACATTGATTACATTTTGAAGATCATATCTTCAAGTGTATATTCTATCTATGTTTGAATTAGATTTCTTCTGATTGGTTTCAATTTCACAATGTATTGAATTTTTCAGATTAAAAGGATTTGTTATAGATTTTTCCATTCAGTAATTTTTTAATCATTATTTTTTTATTCAAAATTTATTTATACAATTGGATGAAATAATAATACCTAGATTCATATAATTTTTTTTTGTTTTTAGGCGAAATGTATCCATTTTCAGTAAAATTTATATATTTATGATATTTTTGACTGGCATATTGTGCAAACATTTTATTGATTTTAATGTCTGTTATCATCTATTAATTGAACCAGGCTATTTGTGTATTATTGTGTATGTCTATATATAAAGCAAGATTATGGTTAGATATTTGTTTCACTACATATATATTTAGTTTTTTTTTTATTTCACTAGATATGTGACAATGGCGAAGGTTTTTTGTTTTAAGATACATTTTTTTTTCATTGTTGAAAATGTGAAAAAAGCCAACAACAACCTAAAATGTTACTTTGTATCATGTTAAGCAAAGAATCGTCAATTGGTTTTGTTAAAAACTAGTTCATTGATTCATTATGAAAATATGATAAATAAATATAAATATATATATATACAAGTAGATTATTTTTTATTGTTAAAAGAAACATTGTGCTCAATGTGTGTTCAATTTTCAATTTTTTAAATTATCGACTAAAACTATAATTGAACTCATTTGTTTTTGTTTGGAACATACAACAAACATTATTTAAAGATGGATTTCTTTATTTTTGTAATATATAGACGGTAGGAAATTATTCATTAATATAATCTGATCATTCAATATATATATAGATAGATGGATTCACTGTTCTATCAGTATTTCAAGTTAAACATTGTGTAAGATTAGAAAAGCAGGGCATTGTTAACTAATTTCACTGTAGAACTAATTGTATAAATAAAAAGCTCTACCAATTCAAAGCATTGAAGAGTCGGCCAAGTAAAACTTGTATTAAATTTGGTCATTTATATTTGGTTTTATTTTGTATAAATCACTAATTAAGAAACTTTTTTCATGATAATTAATTAGTTATTGTAATCCATTCGTTGAATAATTCATCCATATTCTTAGTAAAAAGTTATTTATTCATTTTACTGATTTTTTCACTAATTCATGCACTAGAATCAGAATAGCCATCTTTTTTTGTTTCTACTTAAATATACTACTAATATAGTTTAAAGTTTGGTAGCATAAAAAAATTAAACTAATTTAAAATATAATTTGAAATAATCCAATTAAAGAAAATTATCTTTACAACAATCTTATGTGTACTCGTACGTGTAGTAAATTAAGGAGAAAATAATAATAAAAATAATCAATAAATAGTCTATTGATAAAAAAATTATTTAGAAAACGGATTCAATAAATCCAAGTGTTAAATGAAAATTAAATAACAATGAAGAATTTAATGGAAGACAATGAGAGAAAAGGTTGCTGTTCATTTGATGAGTATATGCGAATAGTGAAAACTGTATTACAAACATGCTAATAATATAAACCATAAGTAATTAAAAAATTACAATTAAAAACAATAGAAGGACATATTAATAGACATTTTACGGTCTATGCAAAACAATATTTGTTAAGATTATGAATGAATGATAACTTTCATGTGTCACTCAGATTTGAAAAGAATCAGTGAATAAGCTGTAGAATTATGTCCTTCTCAAAGCAAATGGTTTAAGTGTATAGATGTTTTTAAAGGATATAAATAGTGAGTAAATGTGACAAGAATGAACAAAAGGTTACAATGTGATGATTGCTTTCGATAGCTACATAGGATAATATACCAAGTTGTTCTTACAATGCGCTTACTTTGTGTAGCAAAATTACTCGAATCCATAACATTAAGTAAACTTACAGATATGCATTGAAATGGCCTAATACGGGAGTTTAACTGGGATACATCCACAAGTTATACAATTTATATATGTACTCAGAAAGTATATATGAAATGATTTGGATTAGCCTGCATCTCAAAATTCAACTGCTAGTCACATTTCTTTTCTTTTCTATATCATTCAGAAAGTATGCTCGTATTATTATAGTTTACTAGATATCAGATCACATATTTAGTTATTTAAGTATCTTTTCTTGTTTGACCTAGAGTACTGATACTTGATTTCGAATCACTTTTTATAAATAATTTTCTCCTCGTATAAAAATATCGTCTAATTATAGTGAAATTACCTGTAGTAAAACATGTCTATATTCATCATAGTAGATAAAGTCATACACAAAGAACAGAACGGTAAGTTTCAAGACTGTGGAAATATATAGTTTCGTTGTTAGTATTACTGTTATTATCATTATTACCAGGTATTAACGTTTATGTACATTTTAACCATTTTAAGCATAATATAAAATATAATCCCTGTGTGGAAATTTTTATCTTTAGAATTTGCTGGCACTCGAGGAAAACCAGCTCTTGCTCATCGTGATTTAAAACCATCCAATATATATGTTCGTTCAGATTGGTCATGTTGTATTGGAGATATTGGATTAAGTGTTCGGTTACCACCATGTCCATTCCCATTTCCTATAGATAAATTACACAAAGTTTATCATTATTATACAGAATATATAACAAAATATTTACATTTGAATAATGATCTAAATGAAATTCCTACACTTGAACAGACTGATATTTTTTCATTCGAAAGTCAATCAGTTGACACTATTAAAACAACATATTCGAAGGCGACTGCCAATAGAGATCCGTTACATGAACCTTGTAGTCAAACTTCTGGATTATTAAATAAATGGAGTTTTGATAAATTGGAACTTTTAGAGTGGTGGCCAATAGGAGGCATACAAATCGGAACACCTCGTTATATGGCTCCAGAAGTAAGTTCTTCTTATTTGAATTGAGTTACACTTTATTCATCAATTTCATATAGTTTATGTTGCAATGTGTAGACTTTCCATTGGTTAATTACCAAGACCTGTTTAATTAAGGATTTTTCATATTTTATTCTTTAAACATGGACTCAACAACTGGACTGTCACATACAACTTAAATCAAGTAATGACTAAAAAATACTTAGGTAGATCTAGTTTCGAATTCGCAACGTAAGGGTCAAACTGTAAGTTTTATAAAATTTAGGCTTCCACTGACTACTGACTTCTATTTACTTATGTTGTTTAATAAAATGTTTAGGTGGTTTTGCTCACAATTTCTGTTTCGCTAATGATACAAAGAAGATTGTTGTTCGAACATTTCATATTTCATAAAAGGCTGGATTAGTTTGTCTACTGGGTTTGACCCAGTTGTGTCTGTTTCACGCTAAATTATCGGTTTCGATCATGTTCGTTATGTTCAAGGCACTACATATATTTTGAGGCAGTCATTCAGCGTTTAGAATTTCTTAACTGAATGTATTTGTGTACTTGCTAATTACTAATATTTTATCCATATTAATTTATTTGTTTCTATTTCGGTTTCAGTTGCTTTCCAAATCGATCAATCCATTTTGCTTTGAATCGTATCAGAAATCTGACATATATGCATTAGCTTTAATTTTATGGGAAGTTGTTAATTGGGCTCTTCCTAAATCTATTTGGTCAGGTCAAGATTTATCTGAAATCAATTCCATACCTATTAATTGTTCATTGTCTAGAAGGCGATCATCCATTGATTCAATGAGTTTAACATACTCTGATTCATCATTTATATCACAAGATAGTAAATATTCACCAGTTTATCAAAGCGAATGGATTAATTTAATGAAATATACAATGAATGATATTAATGACTGCAATAACACAAAATTAAATTGTAATTCTAACTCCAAACTTTATCAGACTACATCATTTTGTAATTATACTTCTGATCCTTTGGTCAGATCAAACACAAAAGATACATCACAGTGTATTGTGAATGACATTTCATTGGATGATCAATTGAAAGTGAGTTTGGTTTTGTCGTTGATTTTGTGAAATACCCTATAAAATAGTATTCGTAAAATGCCTAAAACATAAAAGTTAAATAGTGATGTATGAAATAGATTTTTTTATAAAATAATAAACTGAATTTTTCACACTAACTATGTTTTAATTTCTTTCTCGTTAAGTTTTGATCAGTGGGTCAGTTATGACCAACGTTTAATCGGTCTAGCACAATGAGATGAAATTATCAGGACTAAACCCAACCTAGTAGAAATAGTAACGTTACCTGCAGTATAATAAAAGAGTTTAGATGTAGAAAGAACAAGAAATTGTAGGATTTCAGAACTCAGAATATAGCATACAACAATGAGTGATACAACTAAGCTGTCATGAGCGATTCTGATTCATGTTGTCAAATGTATGCAACTACTGGTTGCAATGGTTTCTCAGAACTCAACCAGATAAAAAATTACATTCTACGTACATGGATTGCCAATGAATTCATGGACTGATGCCACGTTCTGTTTAGGTCGCTCCCATCTACCATCCGATCTACTCTTACACCAGACTACATAACACGTCGACGTAATTAGTTGTAAAGCTTCTCACACTCACCTTATCTGGAAAAAATACACCGCCTTATCGATCTCTTTACCATCCTTATACATTATACCCCTTACACGAAACGTGTGAGATTCTTTTGAAACGCCTGTGACAGAATATCAGTAACCTACGACTATTCCCTATTCGTAATGGTGATTTTTCACACCCGATATTAGAATGGAATGAAGTACTCAGTTAACTTGCTATTTGTTCGGCGGACTAATATCTTCTATGTCACAAGTGATGCAATTTGGCAAAAACCAGCCGAGCTTACTGAATTCGTGCCGAATTTCGTCTTTAAGTAATGATCAACTTTCTCGATTCCTATTATTAGTTCATTCATTGACAGTGGCTGGTCTTGAAGGAAGATTATGAATTTTTGGAGAGAGAGAGAGAGAGTCATATCCCAAGCATGCTTACATCGTGGGTCAATATGATCAGAAGACTACATTTGTCAGCGTCTTCACTTAACAGAACTATACGGTTTGCATATTCTAAGTCAGAAAGTTAATCTCCTGGTAGTATTCACGAAACTAAAAACCAAACTATTTTTTGCCACGACATCTGTTGTATGTAAAATGAACAAAGAACTAATAGACTTGTAGACATACAAATTGATTTCATAGTCAAGGACATGACTGCCTAACCGTTTAGTTCATAACTAACATGCTATAGAAAAAAATTTTAAAATAATAATAATAATAATCAGTTACTGGGTAGTAATTGATGTCAAGTTGTCTGGGATTTTTGTGTCAATCAAATTTTATCAATGAAGTACTTTCATTTCAAAATGATATTTACTAAAACAATTACAAAAATATATATATCTATAATCTTATGACATTCCATATCGAATCAATTGAAAGTTGAATGTTTTGTTTGTTCCACTGAATAGTCCAGTGTCTGCTGATATTATGTATAATTTTAAAATGGAATCAACCAGCAAGTACTCTAGCAGATGGTCATCTGAATCTTATTCATATAAACTTTTTTTGTTTTTCTCAATACAATTGAACCAGCTGCTTGAATGTATTTCACTTGTTTTATCATGTACATTATTATTATTTTTTATTTTTATTCATTCTTTTATTTTTTTTCTGTTTAAATTTCAGAATAAAGAACCAGATCTTGCAACAATGCATTATTTAGTGTGTAAACAACAATTAAGACCACGTCTACCAACATCGTTTCCTATTAATATAACTAAAGAAACAAACATGATGATAGATGATTATTCTCATCAAAATATTGAATTATTTTATGAAATACTGACTAAAAATGTTTTACAGTTACATAATAATACTACTACTAACAATAATCATATTCATAACAACAATACAGTGGATTTATTTCGTGTAAATAATAAACTCAGTAAGTAATGTGTCAGTATATTTTCTCCCGAAAAACAATGTATCTTTTTATTCATGGTTTGTTTGTTTTAGTTCTGATGACTTGTATGATAGTACCTGTATGTATTTTTAATTCTACAGTAACAACGTAACAATTGAACTGAAATCACATTTCATATAGTTAAGTTTGACTAGTTAGTTAGTGTCACTAATATTCACACATGAAAAGGTGAATCAAAGCCAAGTGTATGAATTAGTATTTCGTAAATTAGTTACATCAAACCAAATTATTTGTATTAGGTTGATTCATTGGAGCGGCCAGATCCAAACATGAAGTCACTGACAAGTGGACTGAGTCATGTTGGTAGGTGTCGACCACCTGGTTGGGGCCCACGAGATGATAATAATCGATGGTTGGAGATCCTGAATTACATGGCTCAAAACCGTTTGTAATGGCAGAGGTGCATTCATTCTTTGTGTTCTCTCAAACCTTAACCTTCTGAATTCGTCAACACCTTTATCTTTTTCTTTTTAAGTTTATTTCAGAAAATTCAACTTCTTGAATAATATCTTTTAACCCTAACCTCTCCGGTTACTGTTAATACTTTCACTACCCCCACTACTATGGGATTTGAATTGAAAATTATATCTCTGTGCTAATGTAGTATGGCAAGATGAACTGATGTACGTACATACGTACGAAGTTCCACTTTGCTATTGATTGATTGAGGTTTATTCACAGTTTGCTGAAAAATATAATAAATTCTTAATATGATACATTCTTATAAACAATCAACATAAAAAATAAGTCAAATTAGAGAGAATATTTTGGAATTGAAAAAAAAACCTTTCATGATATTAGTTGACTTCATTTTCAAATATATTTAACCACTGTTAAACCATTCTGTGAAGCTTACTTAGTTTATTTTTTTAAAACTTCTCACATTTTCACATAAACTTTATGAGCATGAAATTATTGGCTCTAATCAATTGTAGTAATTCACTCTTTTTTGTTTAACATGAATATATCCATGATTCATTTATTGTAATTCCGTTTGTGATAATAGGTGAACATGTTTAATTTTATGTAGAATTTAGTTAAATTTCATACAATACATTTTTGTTGATAGATATAAGAATGGTTATTAAATTATGAAGTAAGAATAACACTAAACATTGTGTAAAATAAAATGAATTGATTGTACTTCATATTACTGTATTATCTTCACATACAAAATACACTAGTCTATAAACTAGATGTAATAAGTACAATAAATATTATTTTGGTCAGAAATATCCATTAAAATAATATAATTTATGAGAATGTTTAACTTTTTAATAACCTTTATATAATCATAGAAAAATTGAATTTGTAAAACAAGAGAATAAGTGAAAATTCACAATGCTATCGATTGTATGGAGTGTGACCAAATGATCGTTAGCATAGAGAATGATAAGTGGACAGTTAATTCAAGGAGAATGATAAAAACAATGATAATAATAATAAAGTAGTGTAAAGACAGTCAACTAAGATAATATTCATTAAAGGTGTTCTTCAGTTGTAGAGATGCTCCACTTGCTTTAGTGATTCGCGTCTTCACACGTGCATTATATCTCTCTTGTTTGTCAGTGATATGGTCCAGTAACGTGAAAGTTTCCAGCTGTTCCAGATCTTTTGCATCAAGTGTGACGTGACTGTTGTTTGATGTGTTGTATTTCAGAATCGTGCTTTTTTCGTTGTGATTGTTTAATTACACCAAAGCTGTCCACTGTATTCTGTGCTTCGATTGAGATTTATGGTTTTTCTAATCCAGTCACCAAACAGGCAAAGGATAAGCAGTTTTGTTTGGCACTGGTTTTCATTGGGAATACTCTCTATGGACTACTTAACAGTGTAGTCCGTCCTGCGAATCCCGTATGTTGGTGATATTCTTCTTAGGTATACCATGCTATCAGAGAAGTTTCAGTAATGTTCAGATATCCTCCCTGTCTTTTGTGTTCTCATAGTTAGGGAAGTTTATGATTTAGTGATGAGTTCTATTCGGTTGATTGTTCATTAATGGTCCGTGATGTTACACATTTTTATGTACATTATAGATCCTTAGGAAATCCAACATGTTGATGGATAATACCGTTTGCGTTAGTGGTGCAATGAGCTGACGGAATGCGACTAGAGTTAGTCGTACAGATAAGAGAGATATTAGGGGGTGTAAGAAGGATTTGATTTCGACCAATTCGGCCTCGTGTGCCGTTACGAGTATGAGGGCGGCTGTCACTTCCCGGCTTCCCACACCGTGGAAGGTCGTTTCTTGAGGAACCTGAAAAGGAAAATAGATCAGTGTTGGTCTTAGAGACCTGGGTGCGTGGCCGCAGAGCCCAAGGGACAACTGCTTGAGGCCGGTCATGCACGGCCTTTTTATGAAATGTTTTTTGAGGATTAGCTCCGTTCTTAAAGGCCCTTAGTGGGCACCCTTACCCAAGGAGACGGAAATCCGTGTGGTAGGGTGAGGTGTCACATTTTTAGGGTCGACATTTTCTAACCCTTCCTTCCTTGTGAGAAGGCAGCATCGCTGCAGATGCTGGTTGTCCGAGAGGAACACCTTACTGCTGCCACACACCTCTGCATTCAGTAGTACGACTTCGCCCTCAGTCCTTGGGTAGCTGCTTTTAGTCTCATCGCTCTCTGATCGACCTGCCTGGCATGGTAGAACCTTGAGGAACATATGTTCCAGCCAGTATAGCTCGGTTGGGTAATCGCGATAGCCAAGCCCGACCACCACGTCAAGGTAGTAGCTTCGGTCGGGATAATATCCATTGTAATATCATCCTTCTTTCTTTTAAGGGATGTTTTGGTGATCCTGAATTCATGAGATTCCCATCCTACAGTCAGTTTCTGTGGTTCTTTAGAGAGTATCAGTGCAACCACCTATGTGTACGAGTAATTTTTTTCTTCGTGACCATAGTACAAAAGCATTTCTTCCGATTCTAATATTGTCTGTCGAGTTTGTGTTGAATGAGTTTCACTCATTCTGAACACCTCTAGGTTGCATCATTTCGCTTCTTTAGCTACTCGAATTGTCCTTAATGTGTTCTACAATGTGTGGACATTTCATGTTTCTATATTAATTGTTTTTCTGGTTGTCAGAAAAGTAAATGTTTATTGAACGAATATGGTTTCTTTAAAATTAGACTTTTGTATAAAAAATAACAGTGCACATAATCTCTAGGCATCATGATCGCTCCATATTTTACGAACATAATAGCAGGTTAATAATCTTGAAAAATTACCGAAGTCATGATACTTAATCGTCTATCATTGGTGAATTTATTTGGCATCAGTTATCGAACGAATATTATGATAAATAACAATTTAACATCGTTAATTTTACATTGAAGAAATCTTTCATGGTGCAGTAAGTATAGCAAAGTCTATTGGAAATAAAATATTATCGTGTACTTTAATTAGATGTCAAACAGTTGCTTTATTGAAACATTTGTGGGTTAATTTTAATCAGTCTCATTCCCAAGAATTAATACTTTGAGAAAAGAAGCTGAGCAAGCTAAGGCTCAGCAACTATCCAATGTTATTCCGGTATTTTATCCACAGTTTGTTAGCTAGGTGCATCGATAGTGTCGCCTTGTAAGTCGAGCTATAGGCTACTGAAATAGCGTTTAAGTAGCTAGTAATCAGCGTAAGAAGTCTAATGCATACATTGTGTCATCAAAATGTAAAATATCTTTACAAGGTGTAAAGTAGGTGTTAAATGCTGTCATTCTTTACGGCTGACCGTTCCAAATTTCTTGTTTGAAAAGTAAGTATTTGATTGCTGATGATCATGTGACAGAGGGAATTCATGTTTGTGTTATAAAAGTCGGAGAGACCTAATTCAATATGATCCATCTTTATTGCTGTATAGCTGTTAAAGTGGTCTGGATAAGTCTGGTATTTCTTTTATTTCGATAATAAATTCTCTTCAAATACAGTCTTTTTGGATTACTATTCTTAAACAGACATAAATAAAACTTAGTTAATCATGCCATTCAGAGGTACTAGGTTCGGTTAACGATTCATCCTAATCATTCCGGTGGTCTTCATAAGCGAACATTATTTTCTTTACTTTTTGAACAAGATGAAAATAGAAAATTCGATTAGTAATCAAAATGAAGTTGTAAAATAAATAATAGTTAGCTATGACTTCGTAGGTAAAGCCAGAGATGTTTTTCATGTTGATGAACTAGAAGGCTATCACTTTCTCTTAGAGCAGTTTCTTGTTTAAACCATTTCATTAATAATTATTGTTCTTGTCATCATAATCTATTATTGCTAAATTATTTTCTAAATCTTTTCAACTTACGATATTTTTTCTATTTTTCAAATTACTTTTTAAATACAATTACTGATGGAGAATAGTGGCTTAAAATAGATTGAAGTTAAAAATATTTTTTTCTTGAAAGAACTTCCTAGGAAAAGTCATTGGACCAGTAAATAGATTATACATCTTTTCTAGAATTATGTTAATGTTGTGACTTTCATGTCTACACAAATTAAAGTGAATTGTATTAAGAATTCTGGATTGTTCTAATGATTAACAAAGATTTCATTTAGTTGTGCAAATAAAAAATTGATTACTTAACATACATAAGAATACCTTCCATGACTTTCAAATAAACACAGGTTTATTAGATATAATTCTTGCAAAGTGATCAACAGGTCTTAATTTTTGAACCAATAGGTTTTAGTTCTATGGCCTATGCTAACGACCTGGTTCAGATTCAGGGGATAATCGTACCTAGTGTTTGGAAATGTTGGATGATCCATTCTCTATTTTTATCCTCCGTCAGGTCTGGTATTGTAAAGTTATCATACACCTTTTATTCTCCGAACGCATGATTTTTCGTATCGTACTGTCCATACTACTTGTTTTAGACTACTACTGATACAGCTATTACCTCGGGCACTCTGGCACTTACACGTTTAACTAATAAAGATCAAAAATCATTCTTGTCTAGTTGGTGGCTATA